GTGGATGATTCTCAAGCAAAAAATTTCCGAAGAACTCTCCGCGCATGTCACCAAAATTAAGCATGAAATCGCAGATGATCTCTCTGCACGTGGTACTAAGATCACCAATGAACTTGACAGAAAAAATAATACAACTATTACTGCAGAAATCAAAAGAATCCTTACTGATGATGTCTATAGAAAACTTACTGCAGAAATTAATACTAAAATCACCAACGAGCTTTCCACACGCCTGTCTGAAATTAATACTGAACTTAATAGTAAACTTATCGCAGAAATTACCAAAATTAATACACATGATGCTGGCTACGCCTCTGAGGCGCAGAAAATTTTTTCAATGGTCAATAACATAACTACGAAAGTTAATAATATCGAAGAAGCCTGCCGTAATGAATTTAGCAGAATTAATGTTGTTATCGAAGATCTCCACAGTGGTTCAAAGATCCGATTTTGATCAACAAAGTGTGTCCAATGAATCTGAAGCTAATTTGACCAATGAATCTGAAACTAATTCGTCTCCAAGCTCTTCTTCTGGAAGTTCCAATTTATCTGGAATTTTTGATATTACTGGAGACATTAAAATCCGCTTTAAAGAACACTTTGATGAGATGTGCTTTTCGGTAGTAGTCGATATTCGTTGTCTTGGAGGAAATATTAAGATCTCAACAGTGAAAAATTTTTATAATGGTGTTAGTGGCAGTAAAATTAGTACTGTTAATCAGATAAATGCATTATATCCTCGAATAATTAAATAAAAATAAAAATAAATTTCCGTCACGAAACGTACAATGCTGTAATGATAGTCTAAGAATTCATGTAACCTTACTGTGACATCGATGCCACACCTCTTCAGGAATAGTTTTTTAATTTTTCATACGCTTGAATGACAATAAACAAATTCCGTAACATAAAGAAATATCTGAATATTTTAAATCACGGTCCCGCATGCAGAATTTTTTTTTATTCGAATGCTGGAAAAATACAATTCGGTATTGTCATTTTATCGTGTAACAATACGTGACTATTGTACGACAATCTAATTGTTTGTATAAACTATAAAAGGGTGGATGTACGACTATTTCCTGCTAAAAAAATTTTCTTTCTCTGAACTTGCATTTCTTGTACAACTGTTTTCATTTAAGCAAACAAATAAGCAATCAT